TATTCAACCTATACCGCAAGGCAATTCGGAGAAAATTGGAAATCCTACTGGGATTCATCATTGGCGGCCACAAAATTAACAACCTAAGATACGCAGATGACACAGTGCTGGTAGCTGACACGGAAAAGAAATGACAAAACCTCCTACAGAAGGTAGCAAAGGAGAGTGAGAAGAAAGGACTAAGCATAAACTACAAGAAGACAGAATGCATGGTCATTAGTAAAAGGATGAGCCCGAAATGACATTTACAGTTAGGTGCATTAAAATCAAACAGGTGCGGAAATTTAGATATCTGCGAAGTGTTCTGGCATAAGAAGGTAAGTGCGACGCTGAGATCCGAAGACGTATTGCGATGGCCAAGGACGCATTCCAAAAACTAGGCAGAGTATTACGAGACAGGAAAAGAGTACTGAACTTCTACATGACATCTGTCCTCCTTTACGGCAGCGAATGTTGGACATTCTCCTCAAAGATGAAGAAGAGACTCGAAGCAACGGAACATGGTTCTACAGAAGGATGCTGAGGATATCATAGACTGAGCGTATGAGTAACAATGAAGTTTTGGAGAGGATGCAAAGAAGGAGGAAGCTTATACTTAACATCAGGAAGAGGCAGCTGAAATTTCTGGGACACGTAATGAGAAAGGAGGGCTTGAAGAATCTGATACTCACAGGGCGAATAGAGAGAAAGAGAGATAAGGCAAAGCAACGCGTGACATACCTGGCGGGCTTAAGCAAGTGGAGGATAGAACAGGGTCTGGGAGAAGAAGCAAAGGGACTATACTTATTGGGAGCCACAAGGGATAGAGGAAAGTGGAGAGCCATGGCCGCCTACGTCCTGAAGAGACACGGTACATAAAAGAAGTTTCGGGTGTCAGTTGGCTAGAATCAGAAGATTTGACGTGTTCATGCAAGTAGAAGGCGCATTGCTATATTCATAAAAGAACAAATCAGAACATGGAAGAGATTTACACGCTGATAGCGCTTTTCTTGGTTGATAAAACGCAGGTTAATTTTGAGCACATTCATTCTTCATAAATTATTGTTCGATGCTACGAAACAACGTTTACACGTACATACAAACATACATGCAGTTTTCACGAGAGACCTATGCAGTCCACTATGGCGGCGTCATCTCCATACGAACCTGTGGTGAACGCGCGTTAGTACAGACGCAAAAGAGGCCTCGGAGCGCATGCGCATATGCTTGTCAACAACAGTTACATCAGAGTTTTTTCCGTTAGAAGCGGGACTGTTTGGCACGACTTCATTTCTGAATTTATAGGATATTTCCTTACACTTCTGAATTTATAGGATATTCCTTTACACTTATGAATTTATAGGGTATTTCCTTATACTAATGATCCGCCATAGATATATTGCTTTTTTATTTACAGAGTCGGTGTACTAAACGAGATCAACTATTTGTGGACATAGTTGTCGCTTGTTAGCTGGAAATCACAGTATGAATTGTCCACTCGTCAGTCTATCGAACAGTATCATACCAATTGACTTAAAGAGAAGAGTCAGGGTATTATTCCCAGTTGAATATCAAAGTCTCGGGCAGTTTGTCAATGTCGACCTGTTAATAAGGTCGGTGCTGAGTTTCTTGTCAGATGGGAATTTCGATAAACGATCACGATTTGGGTTTATAAAAGCTTCAAATGGATTATATTATTGCGTCAGAATTATAGCAGGGTTGGAGAATTAATTTATTTAGATTAAAATGCAAAACAAACAAACAAAAAAACAAACACTCCCTATTAAGTAACGGTATCAACAAAATAAAATTCGTCTTAGTACTTGGTATAAAATATATCTCAACTAAAAAACTCTTTGACTTATCAGGCCAGCGTTTACAATTTAATTACTGAAACATTGTCACTAAAACAGATGACAACGGTTTTACTAAAGTAACTTCGAATAACATATTTCTTAATATTTATCGATGTTAGATTAGAAAGGAATTTTATAATATTCAAATTTCAATAGAGAATCCAAAGTAAGAAAACCTTTCTGCTTAAATATTGACTAAAAGTTAATTAATTCTTAATTATCTCCATATTTTGGAATGTACTTTTAATTATGCGTTAAGACATTTTCCGATGGACAAAGTTCAAGATTAAATTTGAACACATAAATTGTCTTTAAAAGATTTAATTAAGTCTTTCGATGTTACTAAAAACTTGTAATTAAAATATCTTTTTCTGTGGTTTTAATCACAGAATCAACTTTGTAATATAATAATTAGGATCACCATCATGTATTTATAGCTGGCCACTCGTATTCGAGGATACCCATATACTAGGGCGGCTAGTCAGTCCCTATTGCAGATGCTTGCTCAGGCACATTTGTGTTTATTCAACACCCACAGAGCCCACCTGTGGTTTATACTGCAACTATGCTGAGCAGACCTTAGTTACAGTTTTTGGGAAAGAGCATGTTATCTAGCGTGATCAACAATTTGAACAAGATTAGCACACTCAAGCCCTCAGCTATGATGACTTGTGACTTTGTACTAACACAGCTATCGACGACCCCCAGTTTCATTCACAAGCCTTTGGTCAACACGTGTTATAGTTTTTGGGCACTCTCGAAAGGTGCCGAACGCTGGGATCGACCTCAATCCAGTCCGATAACATCAGGAAATCTCATTCCTGACAAATCGACCATGGTGAGATTCGAACCCGTGTCTCATGGCCAGAATGCGAATGTGCTAACAACTTGACCACGTTCCCATAATATCACCATCACAATAGTTTTTTTTTATTGACAGCTTCTGTGCTATGTGATTTACACCATGCAACACTAGGGATCTGCATTGATGATTTGATCTGTAGTGACCCCAATATGTAGTTGGTTCACCCTAAGATATATCAAAATAGGCTTTATACTCGGTGTCACATCAGAACATCAAAAAAGCTAGGCACCAGAGGGTTAATCCAGAAGATCTCTTCGTAACTGAAAAGTGCAGCAACGTACCTCGAAAAATGTCAATCGATGTGCCGACATAAAGCAGGAAAGAAGCCAACTATATACGAGACAATATATACACACACGAGACAATAGGTTATATAAACACTAGACTCGCGAAGAACGATATAGATTCCTTCGCATCATTGCGCAAAGAAGCCCCTGAAAAAACACATCGCTTCCCAGCCGGCGTTAATCCGACTCCCAAAGTAAATAAGTAATATTTTTATTTATGAAAGATTTAGATTTGTATTCTTAACGGACATTATTGACATAATGTTACGTTTTGAAATATTTCAGTTTTTAGTTCCTTCACGATAAGGAGTCTCATCACATTTGGTTGCTATCGATCGGCTGGCATGAACGGAAATGCAGGAACATATTTGAAATATGTTGCTTGGGTGAAACAGAAATAGATGAATTTTGTAGAGGTAGATTTTAATGCTAGCAACTGAAAAGATCTAAGATATAATATATATATATATATATATATATATATATATATATATATATAAAAGAGAGAGAGAGAGAGAGAGAATACCTATATCTATATATCTATATCGATATATATATATATATATATATATATATATATGTATAAATAAATTTCTTTTAATTTCTTTATATATATATATATATATATATATATATATATATATATGTATGTAAAAGAAATTAATAATAAAACAAAATCCGGCCTGGGTATGTTGTACTTTATATAATTGAAAATGACAGTCTGTTATCGAATAGACACGCCAAACTTAAGAAGGAATTCACTGTTGCGAAAATAACACGAATGGCAGCGCATGCGTAGTAAGAAGATATGCACGGACGCTTATGGTGAGGATAAAAAGAAATTATATCTGATGGCTTTTTTCCGAAAGCTCTGTGCAGATTTGCTATAATAAAGAGATGGCGTTTACGACTAACTCAAAATTGTTTGCTGCCAACGAAAGAAAGTGGGAGAAATTTCCGTTTTGACCAAAAGAACTGTGACGGTTGAAAAGAGCGCTGCACCCTAGAAAATTAAATAAATGGATAAATATAACAAATAATCGAGCAGAAAAAAACGATTCCATATATTTGAATCACTTACAAATTATATTTATATTATATGAGTTGGATCATCTTCAAATATAGATAGCGAGCAAAGAAATCGATGTATCACGAATGAAAACAAGCAACTTTTACAACAGATTATTAAAACCTCCCATATATTTGTACATCTTTTAGCAACTCTTATTTCTAAACCCTTCACTCACTTTACACCTGATTTTAAATCGCTATTCTTTTGTTCTAAACAATTCTTTTCTTTTTGATTTATATTTGACATTTTATTCTGTTTGCTTATTTTTTTTTTTTTTTGCCTTATTTACCTGCGACTATTGTGCTTATTGTTGTCATAACTTTTTAACCATTATGCCCTTCCGCCTTCGTCAGGTGCCTATCGATCTGGGTAATCTTCACGGAATTTCGAACTGAACCCTACTCTACGAGGGTAGACTTCACGTTCCGCTGATCATGTCTAGAGATATAGCCTCTGGTTCTTCTTTAGTGCTGCTCAGATATTGCTCATCCTGTTTCCACTGAGTTCATGTTGAACTCCCAATTTCTATGTTACCAAATTCTCGAATCAAGGTTTTAAACCACTTAAAGTTACCCGGCTTGAAAAGCATATTATGAAGGCCAGAGGGTACAACGATCGAAACGGTATATTAATAACAACAAAGTTAACGACAATAGTTCGTAGGTTAATAGTGTAAAATTTCAGAAATTCAGATTGGAATTTATCTTCATATTGGACAAAAATATCAAATCCATAGATTATATTCTCAAGATGATGTGAATCAGCAGAGTGTAATATTAATATAATTGAACATAACTAAGCTATCGGAAATGCATACAAGTCCAGTCAGTTTCCGGCATTAAATAACCCATTGAGGTTGATACGCCGTAAAACAAAATAAACCAAACCAAACATCTATCTATCTATCTATCTATCTATCTATCTATCTATCTATCTATCAGTCTCATCAAATCTATCTATCTATCTATCTATCTATCTATCTATCTATCTATCTATCTATCTATCTTTTTGAACATTACAAAATAACGTGTTACGACGAAGGCGTTTCTAAGGCGTGTATAGTGTCCATATGTGTAATGTAATATAATTTTGATTAAAGCATTATTCTGTTCAGAAATTGCCAATGACAAGATCATCAATTCAAATTTATAGCTGGCAAGTTTTGGTCAGTGTAACAATCAGTTTAAGGTCATCATTTAAATTTTTCTTTCGAATCAATGCAAAAAGATATATTTGAATATTCTTGCTAAGTTTGGTACAAATCTCCGACATTGCAGCACTCGGTGAGGCTCGAAATCAGTGTTCATTCAATGACCTAATAGTCTTAGCTTGTTAGCCTTAGGTTGATAGCAAGCACCATAAATCGTGCTCCGACCGTACTGGGTATGACAATAAACCACATCGGGCAGCAAGGCCGCTAAACAGGAGGTTTTGAGAAGCGAGGAATCATCTCTTAATTACTGTTGTTCACAGGTCCACCATGACACGGAGTGGTAGCACCTGTTAGGGTCCCAATTATGGGCAAAATGATTAACCACCAATCTGGCGGCAAAAACTATGAAAAAATAAAAATTTCACTTTTATAGTAAAAATACCAGCAATAAATGGAAAAAAATACCAGCAATAGATTTTTTTTAAATGAAATTACAAATGCTCCCCAAAAAGTTCAATTCCGGCATTAAATGATAAAGGTGTTGATATGGCGCTAAACAAACAACCTTTCTCGTGCTCGGAGAGCAGCAAATTTAGGTTTTGTTTTTTAGAACTAAAATGAAAATTTTCATATTTTCTATTCGACGTTAATTGAATCCGCGGAGGCAAATGGTCACGTGTACTTTCTTTATAGGGCACGAGCTGGGAGCCTGCTGTAGTGCGATGATGAGCAATCTAACATCTCAGATATGTCTAGTATAGTTAATTTCATCTTCACGAACTGTTCCGCACTATTCTCTCTCTTTTTCTCTCTCTCCCTCTCCCTATCTATCTATCTATCTATATATATATATATATATATATATATATATATATATATATATATATATATATACACGCCAGAAAAAAAACAGTAAAATACTTGTTAAATCGTACGCATTGAAAGTGTTCAATGTCAAGTTGGAAGACCAGACTTGCAGAGCTGTTTAATGTTTAAAATATGAAGGCTGACCAGAACTCTACTGCGGTTTCGACCACTATGGATTCCTCATGTGGTTTGTTCACTATGGATTCCTCATGTGGTTTGTTCACCTGAAACCGCGGGAGTGTTCTGGTCAGTATTAATTTTTTAAACATTATATATATATATATATATATATATATATATATATATATATATATATATATATATATTAGTATAGCACTTTTGACTGATTGGCATTTGTTTACATTCGTAAAAAACAATATGCTAGATTTAGCTGTGTAACTCTATCGAGTGAAGATAGCTCAGTGAAGATAGTTGAATTTCGATCCTGGCTTGAGGCATTCGGAAGTCTAGTCGGTAGTCGAGGAAAAAATTGGAAATAGAAAAAAATGAAAGAACTAAAACCATCCAAACAGGGTGAAATAAATCATCCAATGCCTTAAGTCTTTAGTCCAAAGAAAAAAAAAACACAAGCGAGTAGTAAGACTAAAACGTAGACTGCTCAATATGGTAAGTAGAGCGGGAATAACTAAAATAAATTCCAAAGAGCCAGGAAAACCTACCTAGGTTTCACCTAAATGGATCTTCAGTTTAAGCTGGCTAAAAAGGAAATGACGAAAGAGTATTTATTGACAAAACAATTAAAAACTAATAAGCATAAAACCACGAGTCAGAAGAAGACAAAAAAAACCTCTATTCCAATAACCAGGATTTCCTATGCCTACACCTATTTAGAATTTCAGATCTTTGATTTAGTAAATTATTAGATTCATTGTAGGTGGCGATTGCTAGTTTTCCCTCCATACAAAACGGACAAAATTTGTCCCCTGCTTTATATTTATGGCATTCTTTTTAATATTTCCCATTTTAAAAAAGGGGTCTGAGATTCTAAATAAGGTGTAGGCATAGGAAATCCTGGTTATTAGAATAGAGGCTTGTTTTTTCTTCTTCTTTTGTCGCGTGGTTTTTTGCTTATTAGTTTTTAATGGTTTTATCAATAGATACTGTTTTGTCATTTCGTTTTTATCCAGCTTCCTCTGAAGATCCGTTTAGTTGAAACGTAGGTAGGTTTTCCTGGCTCTTTAGGATTTATTTTATATATATATATATATATATATATATGTTAGAAAAAACAATCCAATTTATTCCCAAACAAAAATAATAATACTAATGAGCTAAATATATTTTTTGAAAAACTCTGAAACCTCGACTTACAAGAAAAATCTTACATACAGACAAAGATTAGCCGTAGAGAGTATCCGAAGATATTATGACATAATTATAAAAGAAGAAAAAAATAATTCTAGAGACACTAGGGGATAAGAAAAACCGCAAATTAATCGACACCAACCTAGACAAAAACATGATATCAAAAATTACAAAACAAAATATTATCAAAAAAAAAAAAAAAAGAAAAAAAGAAAAGGATTTCCTAATAAACGTTGTACCAAAAACAAGCAATTTTTACGGACTACCAAAAATTCACAAATCGAGTAAAATAAAAGCAGCTATCCAGACACAAAAAACTGAATACATTAGCATCCCAAACCCAGTGACCTTATATTCAGACCAATAGTAGCAGGACCAGCCTGTCCAACTAGCAAACTCAGTAACCTAATAGACACAATATTGCAACCATTTACTAAGCTACATCGGAGATGATATTCACTTCCTTAACTCCATACCCCAAAAAGTAGATCCGGAAACACTTATGGCAACTTTTGACATTAGTAGCCTATATAGCAACATAACCCATGAATTAGGTAAGGAGGCAATCTCATTCTGGATTGAAAAACATCCATAAACAATACATCCCAGATTTATTAAGGAATTCATTATCGATAGTATAGACCTAATTCTAAACTATAACTTTACTTTGACAACAAAAACTATATCCAAACCTTAGGTACCGGAACGCGAACGAAAATGTCACCAACATTTGCCACCCTAACATTATATTACCTAGAGGAAAACCTCTATGAAGAGAACAAATATATGGGGAAAATATAAAAACCCATTTTCACTAAATCTTGGAATCGATACTTAGTTGATTACTTCATTTTCTGAAAATCCTCATGGGGTGATATTAACCAATTCCACACTCTACTTCAAAACTTACACCCAAAAATCAAATTCACCCAAGAATATAATTTCAATGAATTACCATTTTTAGATATACTCATTAGAAATAAAACAATCACATAATCACAGATATCTACCACAAACCTACAGACACCATTCTTCATTTCAAGAGCCATCACCCAAAAAGCTACTTGAAATCCATCCCCTATTCTCTAGCACGTAGGCTTTGTATTATAGTGACCGACAAACATCTCCGAAAAACTCGCCTAGAAGAACTACATAGGCCTCTAAAAAATGAGGCTACCCAACAACACTAATAAACAAAGGTTTTGAACAAGCAAAAAAATTCCTTTAGACCAACTATTAAAGCAAAGAAATGTAACGTCGAACAAACTCTAACATGTGTCTCAACATACAACAAGAACAATTCAGAACTATTTACAGAAATTACAAAAAATCTAGAGCTACTTAGAAAGAATGACAAACTGAAAAATATACTAAAACAACTAAAATAATTAAAAGCAAACACCAATCTAAAAACCTGAAACACATATTAACCTCAGCTAAATTTAACCAACACACAATACAGGGAGTCAAAATGAAACAAAAAAAGATGCGGGGTTTGTGACATCATTATAGAAGGAAATTCTTACACTTTTGAAACACCAAAACGATATTCATATTAATTAAAAATTTAAACTGCAACTCCAAAAATATGATTTATGCACTCAAATGTACAAAATGCAAGAAGTCATATATATATATATATATATATATATATATATATATATATATATATATATATATATATATATATGTACACATATTGCCAAAAGAAAGACTGCTCACAAGCACACACACGAACCCTACACAACATAAGAAGTGTGTATATGTGTGTGTGTATGTATATATATATGTGTGTGTATTTATTTATGTGTGTACATATGTGTATACTAATTCCTTGTAATAAGACTATGTATTTATGGAGAGGGAATATACGTATACATACGTATGCTGACAAAACACACACAATACAAAAATGGAAATAGATCTACGAACACATAGGGGTCATTAAAAGATAAGAATACAGATATCTTTCCTTACCCTTTCTCGGACCAATCTTAATTGTTTTATTACCCATCACGCAGAAGAACTTTCTCACTGCCAGTCCAAGAAAGACATTTGTGTCATTACGACAAAGAGAATGTTTAAAATCGAAAAACATAAGGAAAATTCATTTTAATAATATATAGAAATATCGACTCTTTGCCTGAAGAAGGTCACAAGTGCCGAAACACGCGTTGCAAAATTATGGAAAATAAGGCATAATTTATATTTAAAAAACCCCACATTAAAACCAAAAAACATTTGCGGTTTCCCTCTTTTTAATATATATACTTTTCTCTCCTTGGAACAATTATAACCTCTTATGTGTGTGTATATATATATATATATATATATATATATATATATATATATATATAATTATCGAAAACTGATTCTGAGGTTCTTAATTTATCAATCAATCATCGGGACTTTCGACAAGAATGATTGCATCGATCACAGAAAATTTACTTTATTAATTTAGAAAATTTGAAAATTTAGGAAGTTCTGAATCGGCCTTTGATAAGAATGTAACGTTATATTATCTAATTTAATAATAATAATAATAATATATATATATATATATATATATATATATATATATATATATATATATATATGGCATTCAACATCATCACTTGATAAGACACCGGGAGTGTTGAAACAAAATGGCTATTTTTGTAGTGATTTTATAACATGTTTATGTTATAAATTTTCTAAATAAATAATTATATATATATATATATATATATATATATATATATATCTTTCATTGGAAAATCTGACAAGGAAGATTTAATACACACACACACACACACACACACATATATATATTACATAACAGAGAAATTCAAAATTATCTCATGAATATAGTCTTTTTCAATACAAGGTAAATTTGGATTTCTCCGTTATGCAATATATATGCTTTGTTATAATAAATATAGTGAACTCTTTTTGCAGATGTCCGACAATTATAATAATATATTTTCTGTTTATTCGGTATTTTTATAGATACGAATATTTTAAGGAAATGCTCTATTTATTATAAACTGCATTGACTACATTTACCGGTCTGAATGTCGGAGAAATCTCATAAAAACTATGCGTTCTCTGACAGGAATCGAACCTTTATCCTACACGAAACCATCATATAGTTCAATTCCGGTCGGAGGACACATATTTTCTATGAAATTTTTTGGACATTCAGACCAGTAAATGTTGTTAATGCTGTTTATTATAAACAGAGTATTTCCTTAAATAAAACTCGGTATTGACCTCAGTGTGTGTGTATATGTATATATATATATATATATATATATATATATATATATATATATATATATATATATATATATATACTGACTCTCCCATGGAATTCGACGTCTGAGGGTCAAGCAGATCAGTTCCTAGAAAACCGACAGCCCGACAACAGCACATTAGATTTGATTATAGTGGTGAAGGTTTCGTGCAGGACCGTCCACACTATTTCAAGGGCCAAATACAGAGACCTGGTGCACTACGTGACACAAGGTCCCCAAACGACCCTCCGCAGGTTTTGAATTCAGAGTTGTCTTTCTCCTAGACCAGTTGCCATCCAAGGCTATAGAACCCAGTCTGTTCTGCTATTTACCCATAACTTGAGAAAGAAGAAGAGATTCACACTTTTCCCAAGGGTATTAGCACGTAAGTGAATGTAATGGATTCGACTGTAATTCGAACTCGGCCTCCGATTCCTCAATCCAAGCCGCTATCCATTACTCCTTTATTTATTTTATTTATATATTATATATATATATATATATATATATATATATATATATATATATATATATATATATATATATATATATATATATATATATATATATATATATATATATATATATATATATATGAAAATTATTTATATAAAATTTTATATATATATATATATATATATATATATATATATATAGAGAGAGAGAGAGAGAGAGCGTCTGATGTAGTTGGAAGGTTATCAAAGTGAATGCGACAAGCATTAAACATTGGACTTTGTTATTCCGAGTACATTGTTTCTTTTTGTGAGAGCTGCCGGCGGTGAATACTTCTTTGAAATTTGTAAACTTTTCTGTGTAAAGTTTCGACCTGTAATTGTCGACATGTAAAAGGAAGAAAAAAAGATTGAAAATGACGAAATAAAGTGAAAGGAAGCCTGGAAAGAAGTAAAAGAAGACAATAAACTGTAGGACGATAAGCAAAGGACGGAAGCTAAGAACAGATATTGATTTGGATACATTTTGGAGGAAAGTAAAACTCGAAAAGAGGGAAATCATTCTCCTCATCAAATAGATTCCTTTTACTGCCAGGCGTTGTTATTAGCGAACTAACTGTTCAATTATACGTTACGTTTCAAGCTGCCTTTTCAAGAAAGTTTATATATTGTATAAAAAAACAAGAAATAATGGAAAAATTAAATAAAATGGTTGGAAAACAAATAGAAACAAAAAGGAAGCTTACCAGAAAAAAACACGATAAAAATAAAGACAAGACTTTTAATAAATAATCTATAATTTTATTTGTTCAATGAAAATTATTTGAATAACATTTAAAAAATATTTTCAGCCTTTTTCATAAGCACTTCATAAAGACAAAACTAAATAATCAGACATTGTTAATATGATATATATAACAAAATGAAAAATATAAAATCAGATTCCTACCTGAACAGTGATGCAGCCCGGATAACGTTATTATGCAACTATGTTTTTGGGCGATAAAAAGAAAAGGAATGTCAATAAAATGTTATAACTTATACAGCACATGAGGATATGGATATCCAGACCAAGTTTTGAAAAACTAGGAATTATATTATTGATTTAAACTGAAAAACTAGGAATTATATTATTGATTTAAACTGAAAAACTAGGAATTATATTATTGATTTAAACTGAAAAAATAGTAAAACTTGCTGGATAATTGTATTATTCATCTTGGTCATTTTGAACTTAAAATAGTTTTTAGGTATAAATAATACAAGTAATATCGTTTAGTATTCTTTATTATTACATAAAATCTAATCTGCCCAACAATCATTCCGTTCACATTCCTATGTGATCGTCTTTGGCAGTCAATACTTTTATCAATCTTTTGTTCATTGAAGAAGTCAAGGTTTGAATTGTAGATGGAGTTAAGTTGGAGATCAAAGTCATTGTTGTTTCAGTTCTGAACTTTGAGTTAAAAAAAATTGATGTAGTTTTCGCTATTCATTTTCAGTCTATCTTTTATGAAGAAGGGCCCAACAATGATATCACCGGTGATTGCCGCCCATAATATAACACCTCCTCCACCTTGCTGATGTCTGAAGCGGTTTGGGCGTACACTATCCTCCGCTAACCACCCTCTGGTGAAAGCGTCAGGACAATCGAGAGTAGCTCGACATTCATCCGTGAATAAAACGGAACTGAAATCGCATTTCATATAGGCATATAGGCCCATGAAATTCTTTTCCTGATGTTAGCTTTTGATAAAGGACGGCTTGATTGGACTTTAACAACTTTTCCAAATTCATTCAAGATATTATTCCTTGTAGCTCTGATGGTTCTAGATACATCAGCTTCTTGAAATATCTTCTTGCTAGATCCTAACGTATTTTTCTTCAAAGCCCAAATTATCAGATGGTTGTCTCGCTACGTTATCTTCCTTTTACCAGCATCAGATCTTGTTTTCCGGGTACATTTCATGTTAGTTTTCTTGATCGTCCGCGCGTCCCTCTTAATCATGCAATATCGCTTGCAGTAACCCCTTCCGCTAACATATTTACAAGCTTTATTTTTTACTTAATTATTTTCCTTTTCCCATTCTGATGTTTTCTATCATTTCAAAAAATAAGAAAATCAAAAATACTACGTTCAGAGCAGCGGTAACCTGTCGTTGCGTAATAGGCTTATTCACTAAAATTCTGCCTCAGATAGCAATATCCACTATAGCTTCGCCCAGGGACACATTTGGAGGGCGAACTGCCTGTTAGACTGTTAATGGTCAAACTGGTAGTTAACGAATTTCCTCTCCAATGAATACTTCATATCGACGTTTTAATGATTTGCATAATAGCGTTATCTGAGCTGTAGAGTGCCTCATGTCTAAATTGCTAGAACAGAGCAGTTACGCTACCCAATGATACGACTCAACAAACGACAATGTTCTGACAACTACTTGAATTTTCCGCTACCGCGAACGTCAGGCAACCAGGACGTAAAACTCAAGTAGCGGTATGAAATTGTATATATATATATATATATATATATATATATATATATATATATATATATATATGGAGGCACGGAGTAGTGGATAGCGGCTCGTATTGAGTTGATTTTGGTCTCATGTGACGAAACCGTAGTATCGGTTTTGCGAAATAAAATATTCCATGGGTTTCTAAAGTCTCCGCTTTCATAATTATCATTTGTTCTGTTCTTACATTGAGCTCTCTTTGGGTTTATATCCTCTTTGGAATTATCCATACGGATTATCTATCTATCTATCTATCTATCTATCTATCTATCTATCTATCTATCTATCTATCTATCTATGTATCTGCGATTTTTTACAGCTTAACCACATTTTGCCGGTGCTCAAACCTGAAACATTTTGTAAGAAAAAAATAATTTTTCGTTTTTGAAAGGGAATAGTGCATCAACATATTTTTAAAATAACCATGATTTTTCCAGATACGAGTTTTACTATTTAACGAATATCTGGATTAAATTCTTATCAGATTGGAATCTGTCATGTTAATACCCTCGATATATCTGAGAGGGAAAAGATAATGCTAAAATCTGGCGCATGCTACCTATGATTTCGTTAGGCTATTTTCCATTAGGGTTTCTCAAATAACCGGTGCAGTATATTTGTTGGTTATTACCATCGGGATGTTTCGTATGGCAATTGTAAAATACCTCTTACGAGTGTTCCAGATTAGTGCGCTTTAAATTAATTCGTTCTTACTGTTGACGATGAATTATGGGATGGACATTTTCTTGCTGGTATTTCTGGTTAAGTCAAGTGCGTAGCGGGAGGAGTGGGAGTCAATAGATTGGAACAGAGAAATCTGTTGGGTGTGGCAGCATATTGGTGTTATTATATCTTGGATTATTTATGATTTCTTTTTATATTATCGAATCTTCTGTAAGAGATGGAAGGGGGGGATTTCATTTTAGAGTAACTTAAATATCACTCTCTTATTTTTTCTCTTTCCGCTTTAGTGTTATTATTCTCGTGAATATTGTGTTTTTGTTAACGCTTTCATTAATGGAATCTTCACTGAAGCGTGTTATTTATATTTACTAAGCTTAGCTTAGCATGTTGCAAACTCACCGATGTGAGAGAGACACTGACAATTGAACTTACCCCGTTAGTCAGCCAGACTAACCACCTGATCGTAATAGAGAAATATTATAACAACAATAATCATCATCATCAAGAACAACAACAATAACATATTTTCGGGGCAGTCGCTGTCCCAAATATGAAGCAAAGCTTTGTCTAAAAAGAATAACTTTTGTATAAAAAAAAAAAAAGCAAAGTGGATATCATTTCATAAATAATAAAGATAATTCTTTTTTTATTTTATATTTTTTACGGTACGGTTCACCCTGTACAAGACTCAGGAGCCACTCAAGGTAGAGACTAACATTAAGAGGCAGTTTATGCCTATAGGGGAGGAAGATAACGGTTAACCCTAGACTTGAACATGCTAATCTTAATGCAGTTAATAATTTTATGTTTTTATTTATGCTTGAACACAAAACGATCAAATACGCATTGTTCACAATCATGTGAATAAACATTAACACAATTATTATATATAATGAATAAGTCATTTGTAAGATTTCAACTAGTATTCAATTATACTACAGAACCACCGGCGACACCTTACTGATTAGGCGACGGAGGGTTCACCAGCAGATGTTGATCAAATAAAACTTAATCTGACCCCTTTAATCTAGTGCAGAATCTGTAGCATATATTATACAGGATTAATAAATTACAGAAAGACAAATATTAAATTGTACATTACTTATTAGTTCTGTGATAGGGCTTATAAAACACGTAAATATTTCACTTCTATCGACATAAGAAACAAACTTAGAAAGATATACGAGGCAAATGATTCTAAAAAGATATTCGAGTTGATTTGATGTTGATATAATGTTAACTGAAATGATGAATAACTAAGACAGCCGCTCACACGACAAGTAAACATTAACATTGCTTCATTGTAAAATGCTAATAATATAAGACATCTCGAAATTATTCAATGAAGGACCCTTGAAAATCTGATGCTCTTAGTATTTACTACTTTTGCGACTGTATTAATCCGATACGACCCGTGATTATCATACTAGTAGTATTAGATATAATAGTGTTTGAATGTTTCTTTTAGATCAAGTTTTGTTACGATTATTAACCTTTGTTTCTTACATTTTAGTTTTATATCCTTTAATCGTTACGACATTGTCCTCTGTTACTTATCGCGTTGAAACATCGCTTGCCGTACGATCAACGAAGTTAAGCAACGTCGACCATAACCAGATGGGTAACCGCTTGGAAATACGAGGTACTGTAAGCTTGGATGTGCTGATGGTGTAATGGATAATGAGTTGGAATTGTTAATATCAGAGCCGAATTAAAATTTCAGCCGAGTTCGATACGCGCAAATACCTTGGAAAGGCATGAATCCAGTTCTTCCTGCCACTATGGGTTAATTAGTAAGAGTTGTGTAACTAAATCATTATTAAACCCTCCCCAATATTTTCTGGTATTAGATAACCCGAAATTGGTTAATAAGCCGTAGAAAACGAAACGACCAATCAATAAATCTAACGGTTAATGAAGCTGATTTTTCGATGCTTTTCAAGGGTGAGTAGGTGGTGTAATGAAAAGCGTTCAGAAATGCGAACTCAGAAAGTCGTGTTCGAATTCTAGTTGGGCGTGTTATATTCACTTATAACGCAAATACCAATGGGAAATGCATAGACTAAATCGTAGGACTTGTATATAGTAGGACTAAATAGTAGTACTTGTATCTGGATAAATCAGGCTTAGTCTAAAAAAGATTAATGCAATATTCACTCATATAAAAAAGTATTATTCTTCTAATCTTAAATATGTATTGACTTTAAGTAGCGCACAATGGGGTGATAAAACATAAAAACACGTCAATAAACAAACTCATTATATGTACAAGTTAAAACATGAAAAGGTTTTTGTTAATATTTTCGTGAAACTTGTTTCTGAGCTGCCGTGGAAGGAGAACGAAAACTAGAAAGGGGGGGGGAATTGTATTTGTCTATTTTGGGAAGGGCGAAGGCAAGTCTTTTCGCTTTGCTGAATTGTTTCATTTCACGTTTGCAAGAAGATAAATCCAATTGTTTATGTAAAAACTACGGTCAAATAGAAAGAGAATAGAAAAGTTTGCAAAGAGGCCAATGAATGCGCGCATGAGTGCCTTTTAATATCTGACAACGCGCATTCCTGTTTTGTTGTTGGCCAAATTCTATAAGAGTCTAGAATGATAGCTTCGTTGATGGTCAATAGAGACACGTAGAGGCAGAGATTTCTCTTTACATACATCTATATTTACATGAATAAATGCATATACTTATAGAAGAATAAATTCGAAAACCGATTGTTAAGTTAAAATATTGATAAGCACAGACTGTTCATTATCTATCTATCTATCTATCTATCTATCTATCTATCTATCTATCTATCTATCTATCTATGGTTCATCCTTTGTTTACTATATATATATATATATATATATATATATATATATATATATATATATATATATATATATATATATATATATATATATATATGGGCACGGTGGAGTAATGGATTGCAGTCTCGAGAGCCGAGTTCGAATTCCAATCCAATTACATACAGTCCTTATAGGTGATTAGCATAACAGACTGGCCTCTATATCCTTGGTTGGAAACCTCTCTCGGAGAAGGATAACTCTGAATTTAAAACCTGTGGAGGTCGTTTTGGGGATCTTATAGCATACTGCGCACCACAGTCTCTGTATTCGGCTTTTCCAAAAGTGCGGTTTACTTTTGCACAAGCCTTCCTCACTATAATCAAATGATAAGTTTGTGCAGTCTGGCTGTTGGTTCAAAGAACTGAGCCGCTTGACACTCATACGTCGAAAAACGAAGGAAAGTCCAATATATATATATATATATATATATATATATATATATATATATATATATATATATATATATATAATAATCTTATAAAAATAAGTAAGTATCCTCGTCCGGAAAAACCTTGTAAATGAACAAACCAATACCCAAGGAAAATTAAGGAATAAAAAAAAACGAAGGAAATAAGAACATGTAATTCAGGTGAAAACAATCGACCAGAATCCAAGCTCAGAGTCCAAAGAAAAAAACGTCTAAAACGAGTAAAGCAAAAATAACTAAGCAGAGCAAATCTAAAACTACGAAACTAAAAGAGCCATATATATATATATATATATATATATATATATATATATATATATATATATATATATATATATATATATATATAAATGTAATGATGGGTTTAGTAATCCGTGTGGATAATTACAAAGAGGATGTAACACCAGACTGGGTTGTAGATTAATATTCTTTCGTTTTTTATTATTATTATTATTCCATTTAGATTCCTCGACTAGTTTCGACCGAAATGGCCATCATCGGGAGGAGAAATATTTCTGCTTGCTGTTGGCAGTGAACTACAGAAAACAAAAAAAAAAATCTAAAAAAATATATATATATATATATATATATATTAAATGCACTAGTGGCTCATCGTAAATACTACTCTAATTAAAAGACCATTCATTAAGCCGAAAATGTCTTTATCAGTAGTCGAACCACAATAAATTTACACGCAGGTTCTTACAACATTTCACAATAGCTGACATATCTGTTATCATAATGTCGGATATATAATAACAAAGGCGATGAAAACAAATAAACAAAGAATCTGAATTAAATTGGCGAGACTATATACAAAATCAAACATTTTAAAAATTCAGAGCGTCTGTCGTTTGTGCGCATGTGTTATCGCATCAACGTAAACAAACCGATGAAGTCCTAGGGACGAAAATTTATAGATCATTAACACACACACACACACACACACACACACACACACACACACGCGCGTGCACACATAAACACACACGTGCACACACACACACACATATATATATTTATTTTATTTTATTTTTTTAGCTTTTCACCCCAAGCAAGGCGGGAAGCCACTAGCACGCAAGGGGTTACAGAGAGTTGGAGCGAGAGCAAATAGGAGTGATAGAGGAAAGGATGAAGAGAAGGATAGGGGATAGATAGAGACGTCGATTGACATTACATTTGAATAGTTGGGATTATAGCTATCAGGGAAACAGAAAAAGGGACAGAGTTCCACAGGTGAGAGGTGCGAGACATGAAGCTATTGGAGTAGAAGAGATTGCTAAATTTAAGTTTTGAAAGTGAAAGGGTATGAGCGAGATGCCAGCCTAGTAGAACGCTTGAATTCATGAAGTTTGGGAACCAGCGAAATCAGCTCATTGGATCAGTTGCCATGAAAGTATTTGTAAAAAAGACAAAGAGAGGCGACGGCACGTCTGTGACAGAGCGACTGCAGATGAAATATCAGATCAGGGCCAATTACATTGCATATTCGTCTCTGGATCTTATCAAGAACCTTGAGACAAACAGAAGGGGCACCAGACCATATATGGCAGAAATACTCCATTCAAGGGCGGATGGTTGATTTGTAGATTTGAAGGATCGACTCCGGTGAGAAAAATTGCCTGGCGCGGCACAGGGAGCCACATTTCCTTGCGGTGGACGAAGCTATTGACTCAATGTATTTGTTCCATCTCAGATCAGCAGTCAATGTGAGACCGAGTAGTCGCAAAGAGGTGCTCTCGAGAAGTTGAGCGTCAGACATTCTAATGGGATGCAGGGATGGTTCTGTGATGAGTAATAGAGAGCAGTTTTGTTTTTGAGGCATTAAAGTTAACCAGCCAATTTTTGCCCCAGTTCACAGCTGATTGGAACTCCTTTTCGAGACGAACGGTCAGGTTAAGGAACAGAGTAAGGCCTAGGATGGAGCCTTGGGGAACACCTGCGTTTGTGAGATAGGAGCTGGAGGTGAATCCGTTGAGAACGACATTCAATACACGGTTTGACAGGAATGCTTGTATTAAGTAAACAATCAACCTGAAATTCCATAACCTTGAAGCTCGCGAAGAAGGCGGGCATGCCAAATCCTATCAAACGCCACGAGCTTCTCCGTTATTCTGAAAAGCTTGGTAAACAATTTCAGTGATGGCCGTAAGCACATCAGCTGTAGAACGGGCAAAGCAGAAACCATATTGCTTGTCGGAGAGCAGATCATGGGATGTAAGGTGCTTAACCACTTCGGCGTTGATTAAAGCTTCGAAGACTTTCCTGAAAAGGGGTAAAAAACTGATAGGAGAGTAATTAGAATGGTAAGTAAAGAAAATTCTTAAAAATCCATATTTTAATTTTTTATTTTTTATTCCTAAAAACCTTAGGTCTGAAGGGATGACTAATTAAATATATCCAGGAAATAAATTATAAACGAAATGAATTTTTAAGGATTTTCTTTACTTATTATTATTATTATTATTATATTGCTCTGTTACTTACATTGAGTTCTCTTTGGAATAATGCCTTCCTTACCAATTGTGTGGTTGGTTCTGCCCAAAGCCTTCACCACTATAATCAAATCATATGGTGTGTGACTGTTGGTTCCTAGGAACTGATCTGCTTGACCCTCATGCATCGCATACGACAGGAGGGTCCACCATATATATATATATATATATATATATATATATATCGCGTGGTCATGTGTGACGTCACGAGCTGCGACGCGATTTTCGTTTCCGCGTCTCGTATATACGAGTTTGTCTTTACTTGGAAATTTTCATGCAGCAAGGGCGGATTATCATTGTCGTTTCGTTCGTGTGTTGTTTGATTTATTGAAATTGTCATCTTTGATAATGGCTTGTGTAAGCCGAAAGCTTAGATTAGATTTAAACATGTATCAATATGGTGAATTCCTTTCGCCTTTCAACGATAATGTGATTAGGCTTATCAGACAATATGAAAGAACTTAATTTAATGAAACATGCATTAATATATATATATATATATATATATATATATATATATATATATAAGTTTGTATATACATATATATATATATATATATATATACACACACATACACATATATATATATATATATATATATATATATATATATATATATATATATATAATAGCCGATAGCCGAGGAAAAACAAAACAACACCCATGGCCTGACGATTGCCTCTAGCATGAAACAAACAGCCTGTTGTCTCTAAATGTTGACTTTAATGTTCCTTATTATATATATATATATATATATATATATATATATATATATATATACTTTCTAAAAATGCTGCCTAAATACACCATATATATATATATATATATATATATATATATATATATATATATATATATATATATTGGATATATATATACTATCTATCTATATATCTATCTATATATATATATATATATATATATATATATATATTATATATATATATTCCCTGCCATCTAACTGTTCAGTAGCATTCTCTACTATCTAATTGTTGAGTCTCTCTGTAAGCCTTCGCCAAGTCTCGATAAATATCAATCAGTGAAATTATGAAGAAATGAAGCACCTCTACTTCGAAAGGAGTTTCATGTCAGACGTCATTATATCAGACTACCGCACATCGACTATTTATAGAGAAATATATGTTATTGGCAGGATGTCCAAGCTATATTAATATACAAGCAACCAGTTAGGCCTATATAATAAAATAAGAAGCATTACTTTCGGTGCGAAAATGGCAAAAGTGAGAGAAGTTCCAGGGAAAGAGAGAAAAATAAATAGAGAAACCGAAAGAGATAAAGAATATATATATAAGGGGCAGCAGTGTGTGTGTGTGTGTGTGTTTATGTGTGTGTGTGAGGGAGAGAGAGCATGAAGAACGAGTTTTTCTTTCCTTTAGATTTTCTTTCAAAACTGCTCATTCATCCTGTCGCTTTCGGCTGCGCGGAAAAGTAACCAAATATTATATAAGCATTGATAGTTCGGCTCACGGATGTTGCAATAAAATTCCATTTTCGTATTCCTATCTTTTCCACATGTCATAACTATTTGGACAGTTATTGACACACTTTCTGGTCGGTGGGTGAGGGTTGATTGGCTGAACAGTTTGTTCAGCTTGCGGATTAGGATATAAAACTCAATATCACGTGCCAACAATGTTCAGAGCGAACAGCCAATAGGAAATCAGTATAAAACCACGTGTTATCATAGGTATTTATTGGTTCGCTATTGGTTCATATAGAATTTTTGGACGAAGACCAAGACAAGTGCCAACGTAATGTAATTCTCGGATGCCTCGCTATCTTTATTTATGATCGTTTTATCTCTCTGTCATGGACAATGTAGAACTGCTGAAACGGAAGAAAGAAATCCAGTTATTTGTTCCGCTTTCGATATAATATATATATATATATATATATATATATATATATATATATATATATATATATATATATAGTTTCATTAAAAACGACTGACAAAGTACTGCGATTAAGCATTTATTTATCTTGTGTCCGTATAAGTGTTTTCTTTTCTGGATATAAAGTGTGTAAAATTGTCCAAATCTTCTGTATATTCTAGTGCTCTCGGCTATTCTTTCAACCATTATCAAGGATGTTATTTTTTATTTTTAACTAAATGTATGAACTTTTTATGTATCTAGAATTATAGGAATGTTTTATTTCCCAAACATGGTTAGTTCATTTTGGCCGTGTTCATAGTTGTTGTTATTGAGCGTTAGCTTTTTCTTTTTTTATTAGTTCTTTCATTATTTAAGTCTTTTTTGCATATGTATGAGGCTGTTATACTTGGGTTTGCTACAAGTATGTTGCGAATGGATATATATATATATATATATATATATATATATATATATATATATATATATATATACATATATATATCTAAATATGTCTGGGTGCTTATGTATTATAATCTGATTGTGTTTTTGTTGTTTTGCGCGTGAGTTTAAGACCACATTCACACTTTTAGAATAAAAAAATATATATACATGTATTGTCAAATGACCGGATATATTGTAGCGTCTTGTCGAACGTAATTTCAACGAAGAAATAAATTGAATAAACATATATATTTTTTCTTTTCTCAATAATTTTGTAGTTTTTAAACTTAATAGTGATTAAATTTGGATTTTAAAGGTTGAAAGTTTTAATTTTAATATTAAATTTTATCATATAATTTTATAATTATTGGTTAGTATAAATTATTTTTAATATTACACGTATTTTAAAGATCTGAATAGCTATTATAACATGATTTCGTTGTCAAGCTTTTGAATCTTTCTATACTTAGTTTTTGATTGGTTATTCTAGCTTTTGTAACAATGTTTCCCCCTAGTGTAGGATCGTTAATTAATCTAAAACTTTTAAAACCATTTATTTTATCTTCAACATCAATGGATAAGACACCGAGTATGTTGAAACAAAATGACTATTTTTGTAGTGATTTTATAACATACTTATGTTATAAATTTTTTAAATAATATATATAATATATATATATATATATATATATATATATATATATATATATATATATGAGTGTGTGTGTATGCGTATGTTTTGTAATAGTACATATTAAAATGGTGGTATTATCTAATTAAGGATCTGTACTGATACTACGGAACATAGTTTAGTATATGTTTTAATTTTGTTGATTTTCTATTTTCGGGCAGTTTATTGCAAAGCAAAAAGTGAAGGCCATCCCCCAGGATTTCAGCTCTGCGTCCGCACCTAACATGTTGCACTATAGTGGGAAGGACGGAACACTGTGACCTGTGTGATATAGGCATTGCCCTGGGAAACCTACACACACACACACACACTACTTTCGACATAGTACAATGTCATTATCAGGGTATTGCCCTATCTCGAAAGTACTTGGTAAATAAATACAATATATATCAACACGGCGTTTTCCCCTCGTCTTTCAATAATCACACAAAAATGTATAAAGGGATTCTATCGAGAATAAGTAGACATAACATGTCTAAATTATTCAACGAAATGAAAACATCCTGCAGGAATGCTGCAATGAAAACATGCTGCAGGAATGTAAATATATATATATATATATATAATTTGATTTAAATAAAAACAGACCACTTTAAGGTTCCATGTAATAAATTATTTCATCACAGCCCTTTTAAAGGACTGCGGATCATCAGACTTTACTTCCAAACAAAAAATGAAAAGAAAATTTACATTTTTGACGGGCCGTATTAAACATATGTAAATTAACGAAGTGAGGAAGTGAGGGGGAGAGAGAAGACATGAGGGGCTAGCAGATATTGACACATATTGACACATTCAACCAAAACTCCAATAAATTTCGGAGACAGATGCGACTTATGCATAAAAGAAAAGATCCTCATAATAAAACATAAAGATCCGGATTTATTACTAAACTAAAATAATGAACTAATTTTTAAATGCCGACATAAGAACAACCTAAATCCAATTAAATATATTTAGGAATAACTATATAGGAAGACTAATATCACATGATCTTGGTTTTTTGTTTTTGGAAATGTTGCTATGCACACATAAGTGCGAACACATAACTGTATGTATATAACTATGTAATTGAACTTGAACATTGATACGTCTTTTGATATGTATATGCATATGCGTTTATATGGAAAGATAGGCATGCATATGTTATTTTTGTGCATTGTGGGCACATTTTTGGAGTGGGTGGGTATGGTTATGGATATGTATATGTATATACTTGTATTCTTTATAATATGGAGGAAAAATTTTTAAATTGATAATTTAATCTAAATTGAAATATATTACCCTTTAATAATCATTATTGATGATAAAATATTTAAATTGGAAAAATTTTTGATATTTAGGTAGGTGTTAATACATGAAGTTACCTGTGTATATCGGCACATGGGTACCTGTATGAGTGATTGAACATGTAAAGGAACGTGTGTATATGTGATATTTGCATGGGTGTGTATACAGTATATGACAGAGCAAGATCTTTAATATTACCTTCAAATATTACCTCATATTAACTTAACTAAAATTTAATTAAAAGAGATTACCTATCTAGAAACAGTCACAAGTTAAATTCATGGACAAAATTCAAACGGATAGAGATGTCAACTTAATAATCAATAATAATTTTTTTTAAAGAGAATAAAAAAAAGATTACTAGAAGTAAACTTATATTTTAAAATAAAATTTTATTCTTTTAATGTGCTTTCTATGAATATTTTTCTAATCGACTATTTCATAGAAAATCCCACAAATTTAAAAAAAATTTAAATCATTAACAAACATCAAATTAAATTATTTGTAGACAGTTTAGATTTTCAAATTTATATCAAACATTATAATCTTTATGAACCCCCAAAATAACACTTTCAAAGTAAAGCAAAATAATAGCGTCTGTTTCTAGCCTTTTTTTTACAAAGAAAATTAGTGACACCTTCTCTCAGGACATCCTTCTCTCTTTTTCTCTCTGATTTTTTTCTTTTCTACCCCTTCGATATCAATATATAACTTCCGTTAAGTTAACCGCTTAAATGTGTCAATATCTGCTAACTCACTGTCTTCTCTCTCTCCCCCTCACTTCCTCACTTCGTTAATTTACATATGTTTAATACGGCCCGTCAAAAATGTGTAAGTTTTTTTTTCATTTTTCGTTTGGAAGTAAAGTCTGATGATCCGCAGTCCTTTAAAAGGGCTGTGGTGAAATAATTTATTACATGGAACCTTAAAGTGGTCTGTTTTTATTTAAATTATTTGCTCTGGATTTACATTGAGCTCTCTGGATTTTATCCTCCTTAGGTTTACCCATACGGATTACGTAGTTTTTCATAAACTATATATATATATATATATATATATATATATATATATATATATATATATATATATATATACCAGTCGATTTCGATGTATGAAGGCCTAAAGAGTTCCGATTTTCGAGTTAGCCCACCAAACTACCCATACATAGAATTTAATTATATTGGTAAATTTTATGCAGAACCAACTGCACTTTTGGGAAGAATTGATAACAGATTTGGTGTTTATTATGCCATGAAGTCTTTAAACAATTATCAGTGTTGTCCTTTTTCTAGACAGGTTGCCAACTTAGGTTAGCGAACTTAGTATGCTCTCCCATTGATCTCATAACCAGAGAGAGAGAGAGAGAGAGAGAGAGAGAGAGAGAGAGAGAGAGAGATGGATATGAACACAACCTCGATTCGAATCCGTTTCGCCTATTTCTCTTTCCAAAACCCTACGCTCTTTCTCTCTCTTTGTCATCTTAATCTCTCTCTCACTCTTTCTCCTTCTATTCTTCTCTCCCTCTATCCTTCTCTCTATCCTTCTCTCTCCTTATCCATCTCTCTGTCCTCCCCCCCATATATATATATATATATTTTCCTCACTGGTACCACGAGTTTCATGTACAGCGCAGTCTTCAGATGCTGAACTATGAAAAATAAAAATGTTATATTTATTAATATATAATATATAGGTCTGTTTTATTACATCGAACACTATTAACGCCAACATTTAAAATGCGATGTTACATATATATATATATATATATATATATATATATATATATATATATATATGGCCTAAAATTTGAGTTTAAGTATGAAACGGTTTGTTGTCACTGGTATTGGAAAATATATATATATATATATATATATATATATATATATATATATAATATATTTCATGGCTGTTTCATGTTGAACGCAATCGTCAGGCCGCCTGATTGTGTCCAGCATGAAACAGCCTGTCGCCTCTGAGTGTTGACTTCAATGTTCACTTTTATATTTATAATTACATACGCTCTATCTCTGATATTGACCACTTTATTCCATAAATATAGCACACCTTAAAAGTATATTTCTTCGTTTATCTATCTATCTATCTATCTATCTATCTATATAAGGGGTTTTGAAAATTTTAGTTTTATATAAAAATGTTGAATTCGTGTTTTAATCAACGATATTTCCCTACCACTATTAATATAGTTTTTTTTTAATTAATTATTAATAGTTTGTTAATCCAGGAAACGGCTAAGGCTATGCGTGTAAAATTGCTGGAGTAGTTGTAAACTCAATGGGTAGTGATACCTCCCCCCCCCAAAAAAAAGCTTGCCTATGTATACTTCTTTTATGTATTGTGTCACTTCAGGATATGGGCGATAATGGCTCTCCACAACTTCCTATCCTTTGTAGCACTTAGTGATGTTTATCTTTTTGTTATCCGCCCAATGCCTATTCCGACATCAATTTACACAAGTTCCTTAGTTTGGTTACTTCTTTCTCCCTTTTCTCCTTCTTACTTTCAGTCTCTGTCATTTCAGTGTCAAATTTTCTAACCCTACTTTTCCGATTTCATGTCCTCTTCTGCAGTTTTTTTTCTCATTCTAAGAACAAATGTCCTTTTTGTTTCACATTTTCTCTAAAACTTCCTTATTGCTCACATGTTCTGTCCATGGTGTCCTCGAGGCATCTTTCTGTAGACCACATCTGTTGCCTAAAATTTCCTCTTCATATGTCATGAGATTGTCTCGCATTCACTGCCATATAGGAGGATGGATATTACGTAGCAGTCCACCACTCTTTTTTTTTTTTTAAATGTGTTTTGAAAAAGAAAGCGGATATTTTATATCTTTTATAATTCTTTCTTTTGATTTTGGAAGGTATCTTTTGCTGTTCTAAAGCGTATTCAGAATTTTTTGATAAGTTTTCTGTCATCTATTTAAACACTCTCCAGATATTTAAACTTAATACCTATGTATACTGGCAGTAGTTTTTCCTCTATCGCCAAACTTTGCTGTAATCTTATCCTCAGTGTGAATGGTAGTTTTGATGATTCAATATCCTACCTGGGATATATTAACAAAGAACTTAAATCAAATCCAATAAACAATAATTGTACTAGGAACACCTTGTCAAAAAAACAATCATGTGACATATTCTGTCCCGATGTGAGATTAAATAAATTCTTCAATTCCACCAATATATATATATATATATATATATATATATATATATATATATATATATATATATATATATATATATATATATATATGATAAAATAGGCAACCTGCACAAACACAGGGAAACACGTTAATGAAATGTTTTATGACGAAATGTTCATATCTTTGACATTTGCAAGCTTTCAAGTGGAAATGGTACTTTATTCACAGTTTTTATGGCGTTTGCACGCGTCTCTGACTGATCATCTGAAACTCACCTACAGAACTGAAGGAAGCGACCATGAATAATTCAATCATACCGGCAGAAATTTATGTTTTTGTCTTTGTTTACCGTCTTCACGGGAGTGTGAGCATTGGACTGAAACTATCAAATCCGGGGCTCAATTTGCGTAAGGTCGAGAGTTTATTTAATATGATTCACGGATTACCAGAATTCGATTTATAGACAGTGAGAAGCCCTCCGTCCTGGATGGAAGTAAACTTTTTAGTTATTTACTAAGTTTGACACAAGGTCATAATAGATAGTGCACCCAATAAAGATAGAATTTACTACAATGTGAGCTGCTCTTGTTAACTATAAATATAGACACCCAAACTACAGTTTTGCGAATACATCATCATCCTCATCATTCTCCTCATCATCAGTCTCTTGATCGGGTGTGGTTGTATGGTAGCCGTGTAGCTGAACCCCTAACCTACTGTCCCCACATATATTTGCAAATAAAGAAAAAAAAAACGAATTTTCTATAATAAATGGACGTTTAGCTACAAAGAGAAAAACAATCTAGCTTTTAAAGAAATCGATCACAATTTGATCTGCTGCTGTGGAGCCTCTGCTATGGATTGATTGTTTCTTGCCAGAAGAACTTAAAAGGAGTCATGCGCCATAATTGGCTTCGTCTAACAAACGGTGATTTTTCAAAAAAAAAAGAAAAAAAAGAAAGATAATTTGACTGTTTTACTTTTTGTAATTGTTTGCTTTCCTCCGCCTATCTTTCAAACGCACACGTAGCTTCAACCTAGGGCGCTTACCGTAGAGTAATATTTAGTAAATTAATCTCGCAGACCATTCTTAGTATAGTGAATTCAGTGCTCACTGTATATCCTACTGTTGTAACACTATGCCAGAAGATGTTCTTAGAAAATAATAATACGAATCACACATTAGCGAACAACAGGAAAAAATATATGCACACGAAGACTATTCGAAAGTGTCATAATTTTGGTTCACACATGATGTCCCAATAAGGCAGGTCGATTTTTGACATCATAAATAATGACAAAATATTTTTTCCAAGTTGTTACCGTCTTTTGAGGAAACGAATTTAAATATTAAGTTTAAGTTCAAAATCGTAGCGATGGAATTTCATTGAAAGTCTTATAGCATAACCTTATAAATTTATAATTTACTTAAGCTTTACAAATTGTATATGAACAAGATGGATGACATAAGCACATTATTACTAAATCATCCTGCCATCAGATAAAACCTTCAGGGAGATTATACTGAACAATTTAGCTATATTATGATGTCATATGTTATACGGTGTAGTAGTTTTAGTACGATTCATTGTTATTCATTGATTAGCCTTTTTTGTAATGTTTTACAGTTTTTTTTTTACAGTTTTTACTTATCGAATACAATAAAAAATGACTTATTTTTCTTGTGTTGACGGATAATTAGAATTTTGGTTTGAATATATTTTCCATTCAATTTATCTAATACATAAAAAATATCAACTTTATTTGGATTTATTCTTGAAATAGTAAAATTTTAAAGTCAGTTTTTGAGCAAGTTACAGTGGAAATGAGGATTTTCTGTACATTATCTTACAGAAGATCTTTAAAACTAAAGATGCAAAAATTGATCGAAGCTATGAATCTAATTTCTAGTGTCAGCACAATTATCATATTAAACCCTGATTTTCACATCTAGTGTGATGTTGATTTTCTAAAAACAGTGAAAAATCAACCCTAACCCTAATGTCTCAATGCTCTTGTGTTAATCATATTTATACAAACACATTTGTTGACATATAGAAATATGTGAAGTTATCTTTTATCATCATTATTCTGAAGCTATTTGCAATCATCACAATATTTACCGTGTGTGAAAATTTTTCTTGCCAACCATCATCTTCATCGCTTTTTCTCTATATGAGATGAAGAAAAAAAAATAACATTTCAAAATCCTGTTTTTCGTTCATCAATGATAGTCTTGAACGAATATAGCTCTTTGGAAAATTCATTTTAATTTGGTTACATAAATTTACATGTAAATAAAATAAATGAACCTATAATGATTACTTCACACCCTATGATTCCTAATCCGGAAGTCGATTTTGTATTTGGTCTAATGTCACGTGTTCATTTGTCCTTTAATCTCAGTATCAATGAATCCATGGGTCAGGGTTGTAAAGGAAAACGATGGTAAACCAAATATTCCGTTTTCAGTGACGAATCATGTTATCTTACTAATCAACGCATTTCATTTTGTTTTATATTAAGTTCTATCTCTGAAAATATATTCCAGAAGCGTTACTTAATTTGCAGGTGAATCACAGGACTACAGAATAAGAAGCGGTTCTAGCAAGTTCTTGTATCGTATTTTTCCTCCAAATTTGACTAAACATTAAATTTTATTTTGAAAGAACGTTTGGCCGAACTGAGAACTTTTCAGCGTCGTACTTTGTATAAAGAATTTGCAATTTGAGAAGTGATAGTTATTAACAATTCCAGATTAATTATTTGCCTCAACGATTCCCACATTTTATTTTCATTCCATATTGACAATCTTTTCATCTAATTCAACCAACAGTTACGCTAAAAACTAAGCGTTGTTCAATCAATTTTCGATCTTCCATTGTGGGAGGAACTGATAGATTTTAGCTATAACAAGAAAAAAAAAGAAGATAGATTTTATTTAACACATAATTTTATTTTATAAAATTTCACTTTTTGAAATCTGGTTTTAACGGATGAGAGAACGATTTGTGTCACTTTCCCACTGCTGAACAAATTTCATCGGTAATCGAGTGCTGATGAGATAAACTTATGACAACGTGAAAAATGTCGTGTATAAACTATTTGGACTGAAAGCGAGAGATTGTTTGAAATAGGATAACACTAATATAATCGAGTTTAAAACTGCTTTTCTAACCGTCGCTTCAGATTAAATTTAAAGTGACTACTGCTACGATCGATTTTACCACAAACGGAGAAACGTATGCAATAAAATAACAGATGAACACGAAGCAATTAATGTTGGTCTTTATTTGAATAAAAAGACTATGTATATTTCTTGTAAGATCGTACTGTGGACGATTATGCCATAGTTTTCGATATCCAACACTAGAATTAAGTCTGTTACTGATTTATCGACGAAAGCACTTTTTTTTAAGCGTTTCATCCCAAGCAAGGCGGGAAGCCACTAGGACGCAAGGGGTTACAGAAAATTTGGAGCAAGATCAGATAGGAGTGATAGAAGAGAGGATGAGGAGAAGGGTAGTGGATAGATCAACTGGAGATGTCGATTGACATTACATTTGAATAGCTGGAGATTATAGCTCTCAGGGAAACTGGAATAGGGAAGGGAGTTCCACAGGCGAGAGGTGCGAGACATGAAGCTATTGGAGTAGAAGAGACGGATATATTTAGGAGTTTCGACAGTGAAGGGGTGAGAGCGGGATCCAGCCTCGTAGGGCGCTTGAACTCATGAAGTCTGGGAACCAGCGAATGCAGCTCCTCGGAGCAATTACCATGAAAGTATTTGTAAAACAGACAGAAAGAGGCGACGGCGCGTCTGTGAGAAAGTGATTGTAGACGAGATGCCAGAGCAGGGCCAATTATATTGCATATCCGCTTCTGGAGCCTATCAAGTACCCCGAGGCAAAATCCCCACTGAATAAGGATTTTGCATTTGGAAAGTACAAAATAAACT